GCGTGTGGATTGGCCTGCAAATGATTGCAGAGTGCGTGAGTTGTTGCTGTGGTTGTTGGGGTTGTTGTTTTTGTTGTTGTTTGTACATCGAGCGCAGCACGAAAGTGCAGCCAAACTAATTATGGCAACCGTGACGGCTAAACTGCCTGACAAGCGTTTGCAATTCAAGGCTCTAACCAACTATCCGCGTGCATGTGCAGGACTGTGTGGTGTGTGTGTGTGTGTGTGTGTGTGTGTGTGTGTGTGTGTGTGTGTGTGTGTGTGTGTGTGTGTGTGTATAGGGGTGTGTGTTTATGCCGCCATATTTGCGAGTGCGTGTGTGCCACGCTGCAGGCCAACACCTGTCAAAGTGCCTCACAAATCAGCGCCACGCTCAACTCTGACGCGAATGAGATTTTGGCACGAAAGTATAAACGGCAGCATGTTGTTGGTTGTTTTGTTACATATCTCTATTTTTAAGTAATATGTACATATGTATGTATGTTGTTTGATTAGTTAGCTAAGTTTATCAGGAGTGCAAAGGCATTAGTTTTGGATTGCTGCCAAATTATGAAGTCTTTTGGCTATATTTGGTTATATATCGCCATTTAAAATATATATGTAAATTTCATCTGTTTAGAGTTTGTAAATCTCAATGCAATTTATTCAACAATGCATTTGTAGAAGGATAGGTATGTACAGAACTGGCCACCCTTTCAGCCCTATTTCTAGCAAAATAATAAATAAGACGTTCCTTTGAAGTTTTGCCTCGGTTTTTATTTAAATTGTCATAATATTTGTCCCCCACACATTTGATAACACGTATGTATTTTTTTAACCATCCACTCCCCGCATAGAAATAGAGGAATAAATATATATTTCAAATAGCATCGATAAAAGATCGGCTCGAATATATGTGAATATGTGTGAATTTATAGAGAAAGCTCGCTCTGGCAAATCCGATTTTTGTTTTCAGCAGAATGTAAAAACTGAAATTTAAGTATTTTTTTTCAAATGGCTTTCTATTTTACGATGATTCCATGAATTTTACATATTCTGTTATGAGTTGGACACTATTTGTAGATTGTTTCTTATAAAATAAAAAAAATAATTGCAATTGATATGCATTTGATTGCAATGTACTAATATTTTAATCAGATGAATCGTTATAGATTATTCAGAAAAAGAAGAACGAAGTTCACACAACGACTATGAACAAGAAATTTCACAGTTGCATTAACTAGAGGAATTATGTAAATGCGGAGTGACGAAGATTTAAAATTGCATATAGAAAAAGCTTTAGAAGCGGTTGATGAAACTTATATGTTTGTTGAGGAAGTATAGTAGAGTACCTAGAGAAAGAAGAGTTCCCCGATAAAACTATTTACTTTCGTTTATAGATCTAATTCGACCGATTGTCAGGTTTGCCGAATGTAAATGATAAACAATTCATGATTGCGAAATACATTGTGAGGTTGAGTCGATGTGGGGTCTGACACTCCCTCTTCTACATCAATCAAAGCAGTGTGATTTGAATAAATATTTTTTGAATAAATACTCTTATTTTGGCAAAACATACAAGTATGTTCTGTATTAATTTATCCATCATTTTTCATTTTTATTGATTTCTTTATCAACGATTTGATTTAAGTTTAGCACTGAGATATAACTATGACTGAGCAATTCTTAAATATTGCATTTGGTATTGTGAGCAAATATCTCTGCATGTTTTGCCCGTAACTTACAAACAGATGACAGTTTTCATCGCTTCTATATTTTCAATTGAACAGCCGCAAAAGTAATCAAAATTTGTTATTCTCGCAGTGGACAAAAAATTAAATTTAACGCCACAGTGCTCGCTAATTGTTTGCAATCCACATTAAGCGGTGTACAAGCTATTTTTGGCAGCTGTGTTAGTCCTAGCTTTGGCAACAACACACACTACTATAAAGGACCCTCGATACTATACAAATACACGTATATGCATCGAGAATGCAAATATTTGTTTAATGGTTTTTAATATCCATATATTCATCGCGATATCTGCCATATATTGCATACTGTTTATGTTTTGCCACGCTGAGTGCCATTTAGTGCATTAGGCCGTGAATCAAAATATTCATTCGTGTGGCTGACGGGCCGGGGTAGGACGTGTCAGTGGGAGTGGAAGAGGTGCTGAGGTGTGAAAAGATTCGAAAATTATAGAAAATGGCAAATAGAAAATAGCACCCATATTATTTGATTTTTCATTTGGTTGTCAAATAATTGTGGAGGTGGCTGCCATAAACTTTTTTGTTAAATTACAGTTACGTCTTCATCCAATAAATCTTTAAAATAAATAATTTCTCTAACTCCAGGCTATGAAAAAAATAAAAGAGTCACGCGTAGACACAATAATGATGTTAATGTATTCTTCTAGCAGGAACGACTCTATGTACGTGTTAAATATTTTTTAATTAATAAAACTTATTTATATATTTTGCTTATGTGGGGGTACAAGGTATTTAAGAGTTGAGCCCATTCGACTCAATCATTGCTTTCTTGATTAATGTTTATAAAAGGAGTCGTAAGTTTGCAAATTTTACAAAAGAAGTTTTCATAAAGTTAATGTTTTTGTGGCTTCTGCGACTTGAATTTACATATTTGTGATCGCAACCTTCTTCGCTTCCGTTCTCCCAGTACCTCGGTTCTTCTTCATGCAAGTTCTTCGTCATTTTTCTGCAGATTCTGCTCAATGGTGGTCTACAGCTTGTTTTCATGTTTTTCTTCAGGTTCCTCTGCAGCTTCTTCTTCAGGATCAGAAGCGTCTGGATCTTGTTCAGGTCCTTTAAGGTGTTCTGCATCAGATTGTTCTTTAGTATATTTTCGAGTTATCCTTCAAGTTCTTCTACAGTATGTGCATTAGTATTTTTGAAAGAAAAACCAAATTTCAAACCTTTAATGCATGTCATATCCGTCGATCATATATTCAGCTCCTAATCCAAGATTTCCTTTTCATGCAGATTCGATTTTTAAGCCTTTCACTAATTAATTATTGGCTTCAAAAATACAAATTTATTTCAAAGAACAATAGGTCCACAAGGAAAGCTACCACAGTTACGGACAAACTCGAAACACACTTGTCCGGCCAGCCATCAATCTATCAATAAATCAATCATGTGCTTTCATGCACTCGGCACGACAATTCCGTTTTATGAGAAAAAATAGAAAATAAATTTCAGATAAAATCAATCAAAAGCCACACAAAATGCGCTTCAGTGTGCACCTGTCGCCTTCCCACAGGTCCTTTTTTCTGTTTCAATTAAAGGCAACTGTGTGTGTTATGGTTATGTACATATGTATATATTATTGTTACACATATCGGATGGAGCAAAAACTTTGAAATTCTGACTACAAACTCTTTGTAATGAGTTTTAAAACGAAACCAATTTAATTGGCGCACATTTTTGCAACGTGGCTGCCAAGTATACTATTTTTTTTTTGTTTGCATATTTCTTTCGACGTTTTTTGTGTTGAAGGCAAAAACGCATTCTATATATATGTAGTATATATACATGGATGTATTTAAAAATTGCAACACAAGGAACATGTGCTGAACGTCAGTCCACAATCGAAACGTGCTGTCAATAAAAGATTTGCATGCAGAGCTGTTGCTGGAAAGGTGAGGAAATAAAGAAATTGTTGTCGTTGTTGTTGTAGCATTTTGTAAGCATTTACCGAACGTGATTTGAGTTACTTATCGACCATAAATCTTGCGAACATGCAAAACCCAGCATCGAACCCAAAGACAACAACGAGCAGGATGGCAAATGTAGAAAGCCAACATTTGTAGTTCCCTCTGCTGAGCTGTGAAAATCTGTGTGCTGCGCATATATAGGAGTATATACAAACAGACATTTGTACATATATACACACTACCGACAAGGTGCACTAAAATACACACTACATATACACTTATATACTGCTACGTAGCTGTGAGATGTGTCCCGAACGCGCTTGGGAATGTTACCTGCAGATTGAGTTGTGACCAGAAGCAGTTGCTTTGGACGTATCAGAGGCATTTAATAAAAAGTTGCAATGAGTATAGTGTTAAATAAGTTTGAATTGAGAAGTAAAAAAGAAATCAATCACAGTAAGTGTATCACAGAATAAATATGAATATAATTTAACCCAGAAAGCTATCATATAAAGGATGAAAGTTCGATTTAAAACAGTCGTATTACCAGCTAAATTTGTTTTTGAAATGTTCTGATTATTAAGTTCAAGCTAGATACACTTTCTATCGGAAACATCGCATGCTCTGATGATGTATACCAAAACTTATTCTAATATAGATATTCTTTATTATATTCGTCTGCAGGATCCTCAAAAAGCCACTGCAGCGTGTATCGGCAGTTGAAGATCTTGGCGTACTTTTTAATTCAAAATTGTACTCCAATCTTCACATCTCTGAGGATGCACTTGTATTTTTCACATGTTGGTTTAACGAATTTTATGATCCTTATACTACTGAATTTCTATACTCCTCTCCAGTACGCCCTGAGCTTGAATACTGCTTGTGCCGTTGGTGCTTGCAGAACAAATTCCTACTTTTTGCAACACGTGGAATAAGCTGAAATTCTTCGTCTTAGCAGGCTTTTGGTTCTACATTATCTCATATTCTTGGTGTAATTGTTCTCCACATTACGAATTATGGCTTGAGGTATCCATTTAAGTATTTTCACTTTAAACATTTGTCCAGAATGGCCAAATCATAGTACAAAGATTAGCGATTTCATAATTTTCGATTAAAGTGTGTCCGAAATTCTTATACCAACTATTGCTAGATTTAATTAGGTGTGCTTCTTTCCAGCAAGGTGTATTGATAAATAATAATATCTACCGCTTTAAATCTTCAAAAGAGTTCGCTCGATACATTTGCTGGGAACTGAACTTAATGTAGCCTTTAAATGTCATTAATTTCATGTTTATTTATTTTAAATAACTACTTCAAATTTCACTCAGGAAGCTCTGATTTCAAATTCATAAAACATATGTACATCATTGAAGAAATCCATTCAAGATATTAAAGAAAAACAGAAAAAAAAGAAAATCCATTGATTTTGACAACAACAAGTAAAAAAGCAAGCAAGCAAGATCCCGCAGCTGGATAAGGTAAATAGTTTTATGTGTCTGACAAAATAAATTTGTTTTTGACGGAATTTTAATGAGCTTCGAATTTATCGCACGTTTGGCCAATTGCTCGCTTCTTGTTAATCATAAGCATACTGTCCATCATTTGGTCAGTTTAAATGCACCCGGTCCCGGGCAATTACCCTGACACATTGATTGAAGTCTCGACACTTGCAATTGCTGCACATTTTACATTCACTGCACATTGCACTTCCGGACCCGTCCACTTTCCAGCTGTGCAGCTGCACAGCCCCATGCGAGGCTTTCCATCAAAGTTAATTGCCCCAGGAACTGGCCTTAAAACTGTTGTGCCAAATTCAGCTTCGGCCATTGAAATTAACTGCCATCGGATCAACACCCACAGCTTTATTTTAATTCTCCCTACTCAGAAGGTTGTAGGTTATATCGATATTGTGCCGGGCTATGTTCTGCCCCACGAAAATTGTGTACTACTGTTGTGTATTGTATGCCCGTCCTCTGGAACGTCTGTCTGTATGAACGCCTCGATTTTGAAAAGCATGAAAAAACTTGGTGTGCTTTTTCTTTTTATCGAAAGGCAAGATAATTTTAAGGTTTTCATTAGTTGTCGAATGCTCATTTCTGATATAAAAGTAGCAAGGATATTATTTTTCGCCAGCTCACTCCACACTTGCTTTTCAATTTTGTAAATTAGCTAATACCTGAGCGTATCTGCACGGTTGAGGATCTGGAAGTGGTCTGCATTCGTTAGCTGTTTCATGCTCTAAGGAGCTTGATTACCTTTACACTATTCAAGTAATTAACAATAATTATAGGATATCGAAAAGTCTAGAACATCCGACCGTAGTGCTATCACTTTTTTGATGCACATTTATAGCATTTTATTGCAGTCAAAAGTCAAATTGAATTTCATGGTCTTATTTTTTTAAGTGCTGTAGCGATTGTGGGACTTTTTATCAATTTTGATAGGCGAACTGTTTCTGAAATTGCATTCAATTAGCTGCATAAAGTTCAAGTTTCAGTTTCAATTTATGCAATTCCATATTTGCTGGCGTAAAACCAAAAAAGGAAGAATTTATTCATAATCGTTGGCGCAAGTGTTTGGCTGCTTGCCATAAATGGCAACGGATTATTGAATCGAATCGGCAAGTCAGGCCATCAACTGCTTAAATATGTAGCATGTGTGGAGGGACTGTTGAGTCTTTAGGGGGATTGCTGGCGTACTTGTTGCATCGAAATCCAAGGTGCTTTCAATAGAAAGCTTGTACAACAAGTACCAGATATATGGACGAGTATGTGTACATACTCCTATATGGGCATAATAATTATAATTCGTACGCTTTTTAGCGCCATGCGGCGCATGCCAGCCAAAGGCATTTCATGCTGCCAGGCGACACAAAGAAATTGCCACAAAAGCCAAAGACAACATGCAATTGTTTCAATTATATCAAGCAACTCGACTTCTGCCTACCAAACACACACACACACACACACTCTGCATATGCACATGCATATGTGTGTGCAATGGCTGCCTGTTTGCCTGCATCTGCCGCCATTGTTGTTGGCACACACGCACACATCATTGGCATGCACACACAGACAAGGCGGTTCGCACTTGCAATTATGCCAGTCAGCCTTCCCATGGACGTGGAAGAGAGCGGGTGTTGGGCTGGTGAGGTTTGGAAAGGGGTATGAGGTAAGAGCCAAGCCGAGTTAATGCTGGAATTGTCTGTTTGTCGTTTCTTTTGTTTCACTGCCGGCGTGGCGCACATTTCTTGTTTATTGTGCCAGAGTATAACTTGTACATTTGCGTATTATAATTTGCATAAATTTCTCCGACGCAGTGACTCTGAGTGCGAAGGCGAATGGGAATGCCAGTGTGGATGGGAATGTGGATATGGATGTGAATAAGAATGAGAATGTGGCATGACAGCTGCAAGGGGCGGAGGGTTAAGTGATGGTGGAGTACAAACAATTTAATAACAAGCTGCAGATACAAGTGACAAAATGAATTATGTTGTTATTCGAGTCGTGAACAAACACACATACTTGTATATACACAGGACTAGTCACAAGCTGTGACTGGTGTGTGTGAGTGAGCAGAGAGATTTTCAACCATATTCAAGGAATTAACCTTCGAGCATGTGTGAAGCTTAAATAACGCTAATAAGAGAGAGAGAGCGATAATTTTGTTTCTTTTAGTAACTAGTTAGTTGAGGGCGGAAAATAGTATTTCAACACAAATTAGCGCCAAAGATGTGGTTATAATACAACTAGGTACAATAAGGGATCTTGAATTGGAACAATTCATTGCACATGCCTTTTCCAGTTTTTAAATCAATATTTTAATTTATTTCCATAAATGTACGAGTATGTTTTCCCTTATTTTTGAATTCGATCTCCTAGCTATTTGTCTGTGGCCGGAAAATAGGTTCAGTAAAAAATCCGCCAGTCAATCTATATTTCATTTAGGAAATCACACAAATACACATATAAGAAAAAAATAAGCTCTGAATTCAGAAGTTAAAAATTACAATTCAATTAATATTTCAATATAATATTTATATATAATATTTACTTCAACATGCATTTTAAATGCTCTAATCTTTAAAGATTTTGCCTATTTGGAGTTTGTCAATTAAAGTTACAAATAGTAATTCAGCATAATTTTATGGGAATAATATTTATTTAGTATACGATAAATATAAATAAAAGTATTAAAATAAATATGTTTTATTGAATGAAGCGGAATTTGAAACTGATATTATCAGAACCAAAGCAACTTCGATTAATAATAATAGAAAAAAAAACATAAAAAATAACATTAAACACAAAAAAGCTCTTACCTATTGGTTTCTTGAATTAATCATAAAATATAGCTTCTCTTAACTAAAACTATTACATTAAACTATCAGCAAACGTCAGCCAAACGAAAGCAATAAGTTATTGGACAAAAAAATGTATTCTTATTATACATCTTATATTTTACAATGTACAAGTATATTGTATACACATATGTATCAGAAAACACAACAGAATAGTCAGTTGTCGTCTTTTCAGGCAACTTATTCCAGATTCAGGCCATGGTGCAGCACCAACCGGATAGCCGTAGGGCTTTGCGGTTGGCCGCAGCAGCCATTCGAAATCTGGATTCCGTATCTCCAGCTGGGCTTAACAAAAGTAGCCTAGATGGCCCTCTTGCAGCACAGAGAGAATATTGATTTACTGGACAGTATCTAATTTGGCCATCATATGCCTGCAGTGAGAGACAGCCTGGAAATGAATCCAAACTGTGAAGCAGACATTTCTGCAAGACGAATATTAATTAGTTTCTTGTTGGAGGGAATAATTGTTGACCATACGAGTATATGCTTTAATACTATTTTTATCAAAAAAAAAATACATGTTCACAAAAAAATTATTTGTTAGCTAAAATAAAAACATTAAAAACATAAAAGCTGTGAGTTAATTGCAATTGTGGATTTTAATCATTTGTTAAAGTCAATTCCAGCAAATAATCTAAATTTTCTTCTTAAATAATTACTTCAATTCAACAATATTTTCTTTAAATATTTTGTATAACTAACATCTGGTTTAATTAAGAAAATATATGTTTAGTTATTCTGCCAATAGCTTTAAACAGCAAAATAAATTATATTGATATTTTTATTCAGTTTCAATTTTACTTTCTATCTATTCGGAGAAATTTGAATAAGATCTCCTTTATGTTTGACCATTTAAGACATTTATCAAATATGAATTCTACTTTCTGCACGTCTTGCAAAATGTGATGCTTTTGAACTGACACAGAGCAAGGTTTTTACACTTTTTAAAACCGTTTTTCAGAAAGAGATCAGATAAATCATTTTCGAGTACAAGTTTCAGTTTCTATTTCAATAGGAATATTTGCACTTTACAATAAAATGCTTGGAAAAAGTTAATTGAATAATTCAATTTTATGGTTGCCAGTGCAGTATAAGAATAACAGAATACTTGCTTTTAAGAATTACTTATAAATATTGCTCATACGCAACGTGGACATTGTTTGATTTCTTTGCTTGCCAAGAAAGGTTAGCTGACCGTCCTTCAATGGCAAGTTGTTGTGATTTAATGTTACTTTTTTGCAGACCATACAAATATTGGTTTTGCTGCTCGCATTTGCCTGCCCGTCAACCTGGCTGGCTGCCCTGTCGGCCATATCTGTGGCTCTTTCCTTCTCTTCTGAAATGCTGCTGTCATTTGTATTAAATCTCTATTATACTATGGCTCTGGCCTGGACTGCCACACACAGAATTTATAAGAGACAACCTTGGACATTGATGCGTTTGATTGAACGTCAGTAGAAAAGATTAAATGCTATTGGTTTACATTGTTAGTGTAGCAGTTTCCTGGATGCATTCAGTATGAAAGAAAAAAAGCGGAAGGTGGTTAGGATGGGGATGGAAAGGCTCGACTCGGCTCGGCTCTGGCCGGGCCGCAACATGTCAACAAGTTTAAGGCAAACAACTTAAATTACAAAGCAAAACTCAATAAAAATGTGAAAAGTTTTGTCATGAAGACATTTTCTTTTACAGATTTTCTTAGTTCGGGCTCTGGCATGCATAAGTTATGGCATTATAGAAACTTCGGGCTCACAAAGCACAAGCAGGAAGTAAAAGTTTTACAAGAACGGCGAGATGCCCACTTCTTCTGTTAAGCTGAAGTTCTTTTGTTCGGCATTTGATAAGCAAAACAAATCGTTAACACCACATTGCTCCAATGGGGGGCGCATCGCTTATTTATAAGCTTGTAAGCAGATTTTATGAGCTCTGCCACTCGCATGGACAGCACAAACGGAAAAGTTAAGCTCTGCCCTTATCGATTTGCCATTTTTCCACTTTTCAATTTATTAAAATGACCGTCAAAAATCGTTTTGCCAAAGTTTGTGCTCAACGTAAAACACTTTTTGGACACTCGACAGCGACAACAACAGCAACAATAAAAACAACGACAATATCGACGCTGTTGGCGAGTGGGTTAGGAAAGTTTCAAAAAAGTTTGCAACGTGCGTTGACTTTGTGTGCGCCGAAGTGTGGGCTCATGATTGCCACGGATGCGTTGCATCTTAAACTTTTAACTTGTTTTTCCAATCTACTTAGGACTCGTGGGCAACACCCCATATGATTGGCACGGCTTTGCCAAACACCCCATTGACGTTCAAAAGCTCTAATATAAGTCCCGACTGGGTCGAGGTGAGAGTTACAATGTTGAGTTACCAACTTAAGGAATGCACTCGGAAAAATCGATTTGCCTTAAATTCAAATTAAAAATCATGAAAATGTAATATGATTCTAAAGATTTATTCTTATGTGCTAAGAACTCGCACCTCATGAAAACAACATTACTTTTATTAGAGCGAAAAGATATAGTATCCTAATACTAAAAATTGTTTTGAGGATAACTTTTCAATATTACACAAAAAATGGATGCAAATAATTTGTTATTCTAGTTGGTCACAAAATAGGAATAGAATTTATTATAAACGGAAATAATAGTTTACCAGAAAGTGAACGCAAAAAGTATATAAGATTCAATTTATTTATTATTATTTAACTTGTAGACATTTAAAAAAAAAATATATATATATATTTTTAAAAGTTATATTGTGGTCATATTTCCAAATAAAAATACTTTATTATGGTGTGTGATGCTCTCATTCCCCAAACAAACTAAAGCTAAGGAAATTCTAAAGTTTACATTCAAAGAAATATTGCCGTTACACTTCAATAAATATAATATGATTGTGTGAAACGATCAATTCAATAGCATTTACAAGAAGTAAATGAAAATATATGACGAATTGTTTCTATTCATGTGCGATTTCATGGCTTGTTTCGAGTGTAAGAGCAACTCAAAAATTCACTTCAACTTAGTTCTTAGTCCGTGTAATACGGGACGTATGCGTCATGTCTGACGAGCATAACATGCACGCCAACATAATGTTTGACGGCCTTTTTCCACTTGACAACTTCAAAGCACGAATTTCGCAGAACTATAAATACAACATGCCGCACACCCAGAGGCCTGGCCAGACCATAACCAGAGTCAGAACTCAACCCAAACAACATAACCTAAATACCGGAAATGCCCTTTATAATGCGCTTCCGGCTCATGGTAGACATGTCAGACATGGCAGAGGTTGGAGATGTTTGGGGTTGCACGCGTTTGGTGTTCTGTAGTGTTCACAATGTGTGAAGCATGCGGCAAATGTTAAAAACCGAAAACCACACTGAGCTTAACCAACAAGCCTTTGGCTAATCAAAATGTGCAGTGAGCTGTGTAAAGGAAAATGGTGTCTCGAAGGGTGGTAACAGGGTGTTAAGTGTGACAGGTTTTCGTGCACAAGTCCAAAGATCCTCAAATTATTGATGAGCCTAAATAATGAATCATAAAATGAATAAACAAAGCTGAAAACTGTTTGCAAATTGCATGAGGTATCGAATAAATTCTTGAACTTTCAATTGTTTTTAAAAATGAAATTAGAATGACCCCCAAATTAAATTTAAATAAAAATATTCCCTATAAGTACCCACATATTAACTAGTGTTTTACCTGATATTAACGAAAATAAATAAAATAAAATATTTTCAAAGTATCATAAAGATTTGTACCAAGTTTAAATAGTATTATAGTTCTTTTAATTAAATATAGTATTTCTTTCTGGCGTCATTTAACAATAATTTTGTTATTACTTCTCTTAATTAAACGTTTTTGCAACGTGCATACTATGGATAAATCGAACATCAGCAAACAAATTGCCGTAAACTAATTTTCCCCACTTTCTTCCTTCTAAGAGTCACTCAATTTTTTATATTTGTGTTTACATTTTGACTCCAAAAGGCCTTCATTTTGGCAGCCATTTCTTAGTTATATAATTGCTTTTGCAATATATTTTCAAGAATATTGAAAAACATGAGCCTCCATCTATTGAATATCCCTTAAAAGTGCCCTTCTTGTACCAATATTGACTTTGAAAATGAAAGTCTTAAAGTTTCCACAAGCTCTTTCCCGTTATGCTGCTTTCTCTGTATTTAATTAGATATTTTCGATGCTTGATTTTATTAGCAGCTTTAAAAATGCAGAAAAAGATGCTTCTCTCGAACCTTGCCACTCGATCAGCGGGTTGGGCCAACAATTGTTCAAGTTGATTCGTCTTATTCAATTAGAGCGACCCAAATTAGCAGGCATTAGCAGCGAGCGGCCAAAAGGAAGCCCACGCATCATTAGCAAAATGGTGGCGAAATTAAAGAAATTACCAGACGAGAAAGAACCCGGCTGGCCAGCTAGCAAATGAGGTGCATTTATTTGAATGTAATCCATTATGAAATCGCATAATGAAGAGATTAGCAACCAAACACACACACACACACACACACAGACAGACGCACATGAACAGACATGCGTATGTACAATTAATAAATGACCCGCTGGCCAAACGAAAAAACAAAAACCCAGCTAGGGAGAGGGGAGTGGTCCTCGACTGGACCTGCTGCTGCTGCCCCAACTGAGCAGAGGACGAGGAGGGACTTTGGCGCCCCCATTCGCGTGTCTAATAAAACAAATCTAATAAATTAAGCGAGCAGCAATCATTAGTTTTTGGAACGGCGCGCATATGACACACAAATATAAATCAGACCAGCCAGCTGGAGTGGAGCTAGCATTGGGCAGGGGAGGAGGTGGTGGAATAATTAACGAGGCCATGGCAGGTGCTCGCATTCTGACCTTGGCCCGCAGTGGACAGACAATGGCCAAAGCAGGCATAATGGAGTCCGAAACTGAAAGCGAAAATGAAACAGCTGGGTCGGTGGCTTTTTAAACACCCATCGAAGTACTTGCCTGCCTGCTTTGTCTAAACTCTTGTCCCAAAACTGATTCTTAAACAATATCTTCCCAGGGGCCAACGCGCCCTGCTTTGTTCAATTTCTAATGACTTTATTGAACATTTTCATGAACCATTTGCACTTCATTAAACTTTTCGACTTAAAGTGCGCCACAACTGGCCAACAGCAAGCTAGAAAGAGAGAGTATGCGAATGGGGAAGTGGGGCCAGAATATTGTTCTTGCCGCGCACGATTTTCATCGATAATTGACCACAAAAAGTTACGCACAAAAGCGGCTAAGTAAAAAGGGTTTAATGGCATGGCAAAAAGTTTAATTATAAAATGCAAGGCGCTTTCGTTAAATGGCCAGTGAAAGGAATTGTGAACATTTTAAGGGAAATTGAGAGGATTTTTCAACTAACAATAGCACTGAATTTTCACTCACTGCCCATTTTAGAAGAGAACAAAAAACCATTTACTAGTTGACTTCATAAAAGCTATTAAGTTGATTAACCATTATGGGAGTTAATTGAATTGGGGTGAAGAAAGTTGAAAAGAAAACTATAATGAATAGCTCAGTGTAGGTTTCAATAAGTGGATTAAGAAGAGGGTGCCTGATTTGATTACAACAATAAAATAGTTTTAAAATAAATACAATAATCTGAGGCTATTAATTAAAAATAACGAATTAACTCTTATTCTCATATATATGCTTATCTAAGCATGTAGTATATATAGAACTCGAAAGGTTTCTTAAAAATGATATAAAATTAAATGAATTTGATGGTTTATTAAGGCTTCCTCACTGAATTAATTAGACGGAATTTTCGAATTCTCTGTTTCCTTGCAATCAAGAGTTTAGCTCCCTCCACACCTAGGAAAGATATGCTAATTAAAGTTCGTTTCCATCTCCAATCCTTTCGCCACTTTCAATTGCTACCTTTCAGAGCTTGTTCCGCCAACCTGCGCGATAATTTCTTAACCGAAAAGTGAAAACCATTTAGAAAGTCGTAAAAATGCGCGACGACAAAATGCGACAAGCAGCCAAATATAGTGCAGGGCGTGGGAGGGCGTGAAAGGATGTGAGAGGAGAAGAAGGATGTCGGAGGGAGGACGTCTGGAACTCCTTATCATCGTCATGGCCACCAACATTGTCGTCTTTGGCGCTGTCAGCTGCGCTTACATCTGAGCCCGGGAAAAATTGAAAACTGTTAAGGCAGCGACGCGGCCATGTCGGCTACAACGATGTCAAGCAGTGGAGGATGCCGAGGATGGGCGGCGATTGCGACAAATGGCGTTGCTTGTTCATGAAAATTTAAATTGCAAAATGTGTTCAGCTTCATTCTGCTTGGGCATTAACAAGCAAGCAACGTCCAGAAAGCTTCGTCCCGCACCGCAGACTCAAACCCTTTGCTAATATTTGTCTTTTAATTACCTGCAAAGTGTCAGAGCAGCTGTTGAGTGAAATTTGTTGTCCACCGCCTTGTAAGCGTCCTGAGTTAAGTGGGTTAACTAAATGTAATGGCATTGAATTGCTCACTTAACCTTTACATGGCTACTGGGCTGAAAAGGCCGGCCATTAACAGTCATTTCCTGCCCTACAAATAATTATCGATCTTATTGAATAGAGAATATCAGAACTGTTTTCTATGTGCATTTTCTATCATTTTCCTACTCAACGCATTCAAAATATGGTATTCCAGAAGGATAAAAATTAGCTTAAAATATTCGTAGGTTTGATTTAGACACGGTGAGTGAGATATGGCAGAATTATGGCATATCGTTTCCAACAGATTAAATGATATTATTTTTGACAACTATCCCAGCATTTGCTTCCCGTAATCAGCTTTTTCTGAACATTTGTTCAAATTCAACGTTTTCGATTACACATAATTGTTGCTGCATAGGAATCTGCAGTAGGCTTTTAATTGGAACTCATCCAATACCCTACCAGTGTCAGCTCTTTGGCTTTGAGCAGGCTGTGTGTTAACTTTCGTTTTCGTTCTTATCGATACTGTAACAAGGCATTCAACATTTCATTTTTTGCTTTCACAGCGTCAACTTCGCTTCAGAGAAAAAGTTTCAACGAACCGAGAAAATACTTTTAAAGGCGAATTTTCCAGGGAACAATCAAAGGTACGTTGAGCTTAATAAGCAGCTTAATAAGTGCAGTTCCTCCACCATCATCACCTCCACCTCTCATTACAGCACAACGCTTCAATCGCAATAGTTTCAAATGCTTCGTTTTACGGGTAAAGTGCTTCATCGTGGCACGCGCATCAGCCACCAACTGGTGGGTCTGGGGTCGCGCTACTATGCCAAGGATGTGAAGTTTGGTCCCGAGGTGCGGGCGATGATGCTGCAGGGCGTCGATGTGCTGGCGGATGCTGTGGCCGTGACTATGGGGCCCAAAGGACGCAATGTGATCATTGAACAGCCCTGGGGGTCGCCAAAGATCACGAAAGACGGTGTAACTGTGGCCAAATCCATTGCGCTGAAGGATAAATTTCAAAATATTGGCGCGAAACTGGTGCAGGACGTGGCCAACAATACGAACGAGGAGGCTGGCGATGGCACCACAACAGCTACGGTTCTGGCACGTGCCATTGCCAAGGAGGGCTTCGAGAAAATCTCACGGGGTGCCAATCCGGTGGAGATACGACGTGGCGTCATGCTGGCCATTGAGACGGTTAAGGAGAATCTGAAGAATATGTCGCGGCCGGTGAATACGCCCGAGGAGATCGCGCAGGTGGCCACCATATCGGCCAACGGCGACAAGTCGGTGGGCAATCTGATCAGCGAAGCCATGAAAAAGGTGGGTCGTGACGGCGTTATTACCGTGAAGGATGGCAAGACCCTCATCGATGAGCTGGAAGTGATCGAGGGCATGAAGTTCGATCGGGGCTACATTTCGCCGTACTTCATCAACTCTTCCAAGGGCGCCAAGGTGGAGTTTCAGGACGCACTCCTGCTTTTCTGCGAGAAGAAAATCAAGTCGGCGCCGAGCATTGTCCCTGCCCTGGAGCTGGCCAATGCCCAACGCAAGCCGCTGGTGGTCATAGCCGAAGACATTGAGGGAGAGGCGCTCAGCACCATGGTAGTGAACCGTCTCAAGGTTGGACTGCAGGTGTGCGCTGTGAAGGCGCCTGGCTTTGGCGACAACCGCAAGGACACGCTCAACGATATGGCCGTAGCCACTGGTGGTATTGTTTTTGGTGATGAAGCTAATCTGGTGCGTCTTGAGGATGTCAAAATGAGCGACTTTGGACGCGTTGGTGAGGTTGTTGTGACCAAAGACGATACCATGTTGCTGAAGGGTGCTGGACAGCGAGAGCGCATCGATAAGCGCATTGAGGACCTGCGCGAGTGCATTAAGGAGACGAAGTCGAACTATGAAAAGGAGAAAATGCAGGAGCGTTTGGCCCGACTCTCCTCGGGCGTGGCTCTTTTACGTGTGGGCGGCTCCAGCGATGTAGAGGTGAACGAGAAAAAGGATCGCGTTCACGATGCTCTCAACGCGACCCGCGCTGCCGTCGAGGAAGGCATTGTACCGGGCGGGGGAACAGCCTTGCTTCGTTGCATTAGCAAGCTGAACGATGTGAAGGGTTTGAACGAGGACCAAACCATGGGCATCGAGATAATTCGTCGTGCTCTGCGCATGCCTTGCCTCACCATAGCCAAGAATGCGGGTGTGGATGGCGCCATGGTTGTGGCCAAGGTTGAAATACTAGATGGAGACTACGGCTACGACGCTTTGAAGGGCGAATATGGCAACATGATCGAGCGCGGCATCATTGATCCCACAAAGGTGGTGCGCACCGCCATTACAGATGCCGCTGGTGTGGCTTCCCTACTTACCACTGCCGAGGCTGTTGTCACCGAGCTGCCACTCGAGGAGGCCAATGCCATAGGCGGTGGAGGCATGGGTGGCATGGGCGGTATGGGCGGCATGGGAGGCATGGGTGGCCTCGGCATGTAAACCATCATACCCAACACTAACAAACCAACACCAAGATCTGCTCTTACAACACTCTTCTACACTAAAAGCGTCCGACCTTCTGCACATTTTTACAAATTTTCAGTCGTACTCTTTACTTTTTACAAAATGCGCTGCCCTACACTGCTTACTAATGAATTGTTGTATCACACTTAACAACACTAAACTAATCTAGCCTTTTAGAAAAGCAACTTGACTCAACATTTTTGCCGCCTTCTGTACACGTCGCTAAAAAATTCAGACAAGTAACTGTAATTTTAATCTATTTAACTATAATCGCCAATAATTGTCAGTAACGGTTTCAATTCAAAATAAATGTGTGAATTGAAATTAAAAAAGTATGTGACAAACTTTATTATTTATATTAGGATTTAATGGAATGTTCCGAAAAAAGGGAGATCTCCAAAAGCCTTTCGTATGAGTGTAAAATAAATATTTGTCAAGCAATGAGATTATATTTGCGATATAAAAAACTTCATCTAGCTGCAGCTGTTGATAAAAATATGCGATTACTTAAGAGAGTAATACATATGTATAAAATAACAGGAAAATTACATGCAATCAATAAATATGCTTCTGTTTTCCATTAAAAGTTCCGTTTATTCTTAATCAGTCGAAGTAGAACTAGGCCGTTTTTTTAATCTTCTATATATTTTTATTGTAACATTCTTCGATTTTTTCTTATATTCTGTACCAGAACGGTACAATAAGACAGATGGAGCCGTGGCTTGAGCTTTTTCGCTTGTTTAAGGTCACAATAGTAGCTGCTGGGTATCTGCTTATTTACAGAAACTGTCAAGCTTCGTTTTGGCAGATCATTCCATTAGGAGAAGTAACAATGAGCCAACAGTCGACATATGGCTATGTGTGAACGGATATAAATAAATATATTTGAAAAATATATGGGGAAAGATTTATCTAAAAAGTAGCCTCTCTGTTGCACTCGACAAGTATTTTCCAAGTTTTCTATTATATCTCTGTCCCTTTGTTTGTGGCGAACCGGCTGAAGTGACAGTTTCCTCATACAAAATATACATTTTACACATGTCCCTTCCAGTGTTTTGTCACACTGACACTCCACTTCCTTCCCAGCACACACCCACACCCACACCCTCAGCCCCTCTCTTGGGTTAGCCATTGTTGCCTAAACCACTTGTTGTAGTTTTTGTGGAGCCCGTTGTCTGTTATAAAATATGAGCCAGACAACGGCAGCCGTGGTTAGCCTTTAGTTAGTGTGTCTACGGGGAGCATTGCATGCTTTTTGGCCCTTTAATTGCACAGGAAGAGCAACAAAAACCAAGAGTGGAAGTACACTTCACTTCTATGCAGTCACTGCTTAACTTTTTGACATTTATGCCTCGCCATTGCTGGGAGTTTTCTGAAGGTTTGACTTCCACTTTTTCAAAACAGATTTGCAGAGATGGACAAAAAGCATTTGACAGAAGCATTTTACAAAACTTTTAATACGTTTCTTTGCTATTAAAATGACTATTTTTATTTTAATATAAAAAAAAAATTGAGTAATTCACAAAACTAAAACTAAATCTTAACCAATGCTAGATTACCATTTTATGGATAATTTTCATGAATTCACACATCAAAACAGTTTTTTTTAGATACAATGTTTGTTATAGCCCACAAAAGTCAGCGCTTCATCTTTTTGTTTTTTTTTCCAGCTTCGAATAATTTGATTCAATTCTCAAAAAAAAACTGTCAATTCAAAAATGTTTTAACGAATCTTTAAAAACACATTACAATAAAAATTACTCGATCTTTCCTTTATGGAGGGTTTTTTTCATGAAAGTTAATTAAATATATACTTTAAAGTTGAAATGAATTATAGGACTATTAAATATTTATACAAATATTAAAGACATAAGGTTTTAGTAATCTTTTAAACATTATTTTAACTTTCCGTTTACGTCTATTGCAATGCAAATAATACCAATGTCAAAATGTATTATTTAAAATATACTATTTAAAATGTCATTTTATGAAATTGATGATCAAATTCAGATTTGTCGATCCGGCTAAAATTTGAATCGTATTACTCAAAAAAATGAAAGAAATAGATAGCGACTACCTAACCAGTTTGAGACGTCTTCTTAAGATATCTGAATGAGATCATAAAAATAAGGTGAGCTGGGGTGGGTACAGAGATCAGCATGGATTAATGATTACATTTCATTATTGATTCAGAAACTAAATTATTATTTTGTTTGAATAATCATCACTTATTCTGAGACAGCTTCAGAAACTAAAAAGCAAACAAATAATAAATTGGAATGCATACTTTAATGCAAATAAAAAATAAATAATGCAAAAAGAAAAAGTTATTCGTTATTATTGTAAAGCCGTTGGCTTCTACAGACTTGCCTATGTAACGCGTTGTGTATTTAGTTAAGTCGGCACTTACGTTAGCCGTCTTCTTATCTTTGTTTAGACCAGTGCCTAAGCATATGCAACACTTACGACAAGCAACATCTTGTCACATACAAATCCCAAAAGTCCAAAACAAAAATCATAACGAGCTGCTCATCAACAGGCGAGCACATTGCTCAAGATTCTAGAAAAAACTTGAAAAGTGGGTAACAGAGCAGCAAACCTCAAAGCCCTCCCCATGCCATCTCCACTCCCTATATGGTATAAGCAACCTTTTCAACAATGTATGTTAAGCATTACTTGCGGCTTATCCTTGACGTCTGTTACACACTTGAGGAAAGCCAAGCAGCTCGTGAGATGCAGCCCGAGCTCGCTTTTATGGTTTGTTGTTACACTTATTGTTGTTGTTGTAACACTTGCTGTTGCTGTTGCTACTGTTGCTGATGCTGGTGCTGCTGTTGTTGTTGTCAACACATAAATTGCATGCAATTTCGTTTCGCAATTCCGTGTGATGTTCAAGTGGCTGGAAGAACAAGATCTTCTGCCATTGCACGTGCCTTAATGATGCTTACAAGTCTCACAAGGCTGCGAAATTTGTTACAATACGCCCACTTAATTATGAAAAAGGAGAGCGCGCGCAAAGGGCCGCGCATGCAGGCGTGTGGAGCAAAAGTGCATATTACGCATACGCCCCATCTAACGGCAGATTTACGATGTCAGCTAATACGCTAATGGCCATGAAATGACGCAACAGTCGCAGAGAAACAGCAACAAGAACAGAGGCAGCAGCAGAAAAACCACCAAACAATACATTTCAAAAATTGACAATTTATGGCTTAGAAGCAAACGAAATTGTTACGGCCACATTGAGCCTGGCTGCTGCACTTTTGAGCCCCCAGCACCACAGTGGTGTGAAAATGATAAATATTGGTACTCGTATGTAGAAATATTTAATATGAAATAGGCTTCTAAATTCATTTTCAATTGTTAGTTTAGTTGATTTAAAAAATTCAAAGACGCCCTTTCCAGTGCTTTACATAGTTTTCCACCAAAATAGTATTCCCACTTATCCTTTGGGTGCAGGATATAAAATGTAAAAATTAAATAACATATTTCAAAATGCTACTGCATTATAATCGAAAGAATACCTTCGCTATAAACACTTTTTTTAAAGTTATTCAGTCTATACTATATTTACGAAACTATCACTCTTTAAAATAAATAGTGAATTACAAGGTAGGATGCAGCAGTCGAACAAGCCCGACAACGAAATACCCTGCATCGTAAAAAACATACGCCACTGTGTTATCAGCGGGCATAGTAGTTTGTAGACTAGAGTGAAATTATTTCATAAATTTAACACAGAAATACAGAGTTTATTTATTTGTTATATTTGCATTTGGACAAAGTGGTGCTCATCCAGTCAAACAGACGGGCCGACAGACGATCAGACAAACGTACAGTCAGATCGCTAGATAGTGCGATGCATAGATCGATTTTATGCTGTTTAAAAATATACATTTTAAAAATACATATACATGTATGTATGTCCGGAGGTGCTTCCGTCTGCCGCTCTTCTTCTTTAAGTAAAGGGTTTAAAATCGCAAGTACGTACATTTTGTAAGTACAAATAAATTAAAAATTAAACAAACCTGCCAAATAAATGCAGCTAATATATTGGCTATCCAAACAGTTGGTAATAATTGTTGAAATTCAATTAAATAATTTTCGCAAGCTAGCTGCAAATGTTAAATTTTGTGTGCACTTTACGATTTATAATTTAGGAGCATTTTGCAAATTCTGATTCTTGTTAGTCCTGTCTACTATCTAGGGCCTTACATGCACTTTTACACACTCGTCTGTCCGTGTCCATGTCCATGTTGCATGATTTATGGTCAACAGTTTTTCGCGCACGCTTCCTGTCATGCAAAAAAGTTTGTGTTGCTTTTCTTTTATTTGATTTGATTTGATTTTTTATGGTGTTGTGTGTGGTGTGTTTGTTGTTGTTTATTAGCAAATACTTTTGTATTTGTTTAAGGGCTGTGAAAAGTGCAATATGGCTGGATATGTCTGTTGTTTGGCGAATTCAATTCCATTTGACGCCTGCTGGCGTGAATTCACGCCCCAGCACCAAAGAAGTCTTTGAACTTTGGCCATAAACATATTGGTTTTTGGCAGCCACATGAATTTCTGGCGACGATGTCGACGCCGACGACGTCATGTGGCGTGCTTTGTATTGTCAGTTGCAGAAGCACATGTCTAGGCCCACCCATGCCGCACGACACTTGGCACAACATAACACAGTTCCATAAACAAATTCTTTCTATATATTTCCCCACACTCGTGCACTGTAAAAAATAGTTGTATCCGTTCTAAAACGAAGTACTCAGCAGTTGACTCAAGAGTTAATTCTTAATGCTTTAATACTTTAATGCTGTAATTTTTGAATACCTTTAGACATGAATACCTTAATACTTTAACTCTTCTCGTTCTAGTTTTCCGCAGTGTACAATATATTTACATATATTTGTATATTTTCATAGTAGACGATTTGGCGTCGCATTGTCGCTGAGCCATAATTGAATTCTATGCTTTATTGCTGAATACATGTACACAGAATCGTATCATTGATATGCTGTTTAGGTAAAGGGAAACATGATTTACACTACCGACAATTTTAGGGCGTTGTTGCCAAATTTCAGCTATCAGTCAAAAATGTCACTGCAAAGCGAAAGGAAAAAGAATTGGAACACAACTCAACTCAAATGCTTAACATTCAAGCAGGCAGCCAACCGGCAACAACTGGCAACTGTAGGCAATAGATAGACGACCTAACAACCCCAGCAAACAGCCCACTCCTCAATCCCCACCCCACCGCTCCGCCACTTCTCGCCACACGGCCAATTCATAAACGGAAATGGCAGTCAAACGTGTTTGCCAAATGCACACAGACGATGTC